CCCGCAGTGTCGAGTCACCTAGACTGGTAAGCAATCTGAAGATGGTATCCGCGTTTTTGTAGGATATTGCTTGTTCCAACAGTAGATTATGGACAAGGGTTCTGGCAAATGAGTTTTGATGTTCGAGATTCAGTGCATTAAGTCACTTTTTCTGTCCTGAAAGTACTGCTGATAATGATCGCCTGCCTATGAAATGTTCCAGCTGTGGTATATATTCAAAGACTATATTAGTAGGCGCGATAATTTATAATACGATAACTTTTGATTTTAGACATAAACGAACATGCAAAGAAAATCCAACGTAACCTTCATTTTTTATTTCATGCTATGTATCAATTAAAGATAAGGCACTTAAATTGCCATTCAGATGGAAATCTCCTTGCACTTGCTTTTTTTGCCAAATACGTAAAATGTATGGCACACAAAAGATCCATTTTACTTGCCTAGTAACTAGTGTGAATTTCTGCTGAACTGAGGTTTAAACAATGTGTCTGCAATCACGATCAATAATTTAGATGAAGAAAATCAGAAGTGAAGTGTAGACAAAGTATTTGTTCTTTCATTAATTGTGAATTATCAGACGTTACAAACTACTGGAATTCCATTAATTATCTGCTTGACTTGACTTTCAGGTTCACATTTTCAAGTGGTTAATCTATTAGACTCTGATATTTCTAAAATAGCATTATTTTGTTGATTATAATAATTGTGACAGATAATATTACCGATGCCAGTAAGATTTTAGACTGACCCTTACATGAATGATTTTCCAATAATAAGCAAGAAATATCAAACAAATAAATTGTCTCATTAAGACTTGACTTAAACAGATCGGTCAGTCGCAGAAGTATATCTGAAAATGTCTGGCTTGAATTCCAGGTGCCATGTGTGTTTTGGTACATATTTTTTCCAATTTAGTGCTTTTTTTGAGATGTAGTTTGATCAATTTCGCATAGTGTATCGTGTTTACCTCCAGCATCTACTTTGAATTTACTCCTCAACTGATAGCTGACTTGTTTTCTTCCAGAGTAAGTTGCTGTCGATGGTTTCTGACTAGTGGATATGGTGTATCCTGCATAAGCAGTTGTTATAATCACCTGTACTTCTTTAGTGAAAGTGGTGGTTTTTATTCAAGTTCCATTTCGGTGCCGTAGAATTATTTCTGCTATGTTCTTATGGCCCTGGTTATTATATCATGTGAATAATTTTACCACTTGGAGCACCGACTTTAAATGACCTCAATACCGTACCAAATCAAGAACGGATAAACCAGCAAGAGCAGCCTAGAGTCAACTCTGAGTTCCGATTGGTACTTCTGCCCAGACCTGACTGTTTGAATCCAGAACACATCTTCTACAGTATGAATCATGTATATTATACATACTTGGTTCACATACAAACAAACCAGACCTCAACACAACATAAAAGAGAAAATAAATAGTATACAAAATCAAGCCAAAAAGTGGCCGTGAGTGTGAGATACTATAACCAGTAAATCGGGTATAACTTAAGAATAGTGGTGGTGTTACACTAGCTGTCTTCATCTGTGTTTGCTGTCGTATACGAGATAGCGGAGACAAGTCATATGGAAATTCTAAATTATCCAACTAAGAATAAGTTGTCCAGAGTGTTTCACGCTTTCTGTGAGATGTGAGGGTTCCATAATCCAGTCAGCTATTGACAGACAGAGGAAAGACGTGAGTAGACAGTTTTTTATGATACTAGTCTTCACTTGGAATGCATCAACGAGCTGCTATGGATTCATGAATTCGCAACTCACTTCCTCATTGGGTTCGTATAAAAGCAACGATATTTTGATAAATTGTGTAGGTTCTAAGATGATTCTACAAGATTTTCCTGTGTATGCTTTTGATAAAAGTAGAAATAAGATCATGAAAGAAATCATAGATTCAATATTTCACATGTATGTGAAGGATGTATTATTAAGTAATAATAAATAACAGAATAAATATTGAACAAGATTGATTCATTTGTTTTGATAGTGATAATTCAATCAATCTACTTATAACAAAAATAAGCATGCTCAAATAGCCGAACAAACCAATATACATAAACAAACACATCGCACATACATACTAGATTGAAATGTTCCGTTACCAAGAAATAAAACATCCAATGCCTAGTTCCAATACAAATACTAGTGTTCAGTTTGTAATATAATGGAACATCCTGACTATGTTGTTTGAGTGAACACATTGTCTGTTATACCATTAATCGGACTCCTCTACATATCTGGAATGTGCTCACTGAAACTATCCAGTAAGCAGAAATCTGACAACTCATATTTAGTACCCAAGTAAGCATGGCTTCAATACACTTGCAAAATAAATGCCAGTCATAAATTCATCACATTACTAATCATATTTCCCAAGACGGTTTTAAACACACCCACGTAAATGCACACGTAAGCAACCTTAGATCTCATCTAACCCACTAGCCTACCTGTCAGTGATTACCGAAATAATCTGAACAGAGTGGCATACGGACCACGTGCAATCGATGGAACAAAGTGAAGCGTAAATTATTGTCTTTTCATACATACATACATACATACATACATACACACATACATACATACCTGCATATAAATTTACATACACATAAATATATTTACATATGTAGTTAAGTGGATTGTTTCGGTTGAACTGGTTGACATCAGGTGTGAGCACGTGTTTGCTCTGAACGTCAACATCTACGAACGTGGTCGAATGAATGCAGTCAGCAGTAATTTGACAGCAAACGACAATAGAAATCTTGATAGTATAGTGAAATACTGTTGTGTGATATAATATATGCCTGATCGGTGTTTTTATGTCAACTCTTCTTTGTTGTACTGGTCGCATCATTCGAATGTCACAACTCACGTGAGTCTTATCTTACTCGATCGCATAATATGAAGTTGTCACTTACTGGCGAGTAATTACAAAAGTATTCCACTTGCTGATTCAGCCTTCAGATAAATACAACAGTGTTGTGTCATGTGTTCAACTGAGGCAAAGTAAAGTGATGCGACGTCAACAAGAATGAAATGAATAATAATGTGGTGTGTTGTCGATTTGTGGAACAACATGTAATGAAGTGACCAGAGTTTAAGTGGGCTGAATAGAGGTGTGGGCATGTAATTGTTTTGTTTTGCTTTGTCATATTCCATGTGAATCACATTGTGACGTTGTGTTATTTCGTTTTCAGTGATTGCAGAACCAGCACCAGGCAGTCAGGGTGGCTGTTGTCCTGGTGCATGTCCTCAATGCCCTGGATGATGTGGATGTCGTGGATGCCAAGGTGGAAACTGTTATGGAGGCTGCTGCAAGAACTGTTACCGTAATTAACAACACTAACAGCCATATCTATTCAGCATACAATGACGAAAACCCGCTCCCGAGTACGCAGTTTCTAATCTGTCTACGAAATATACAAAACTAACAATGTTTCTTATTTCCATGCCAAATGTCCGTTGGCCTAGTTATTGTCCTATTCTCCGTCTACAACTAGAATTTTCTCAACGCTCTCTCTCACTATACAGCACCAATCCACACAAATCGCATCCAAAGCTTAGTTGAACAGATCTAAGTTACCCGTCTATTCGGAAATTTATTTTGGTGTGTAATAAGTGCCATATGAACTGGTTTCCTCTCTGATCAACCAGCGTGTTCATCACTTTTATACTACTGTCCACATGTATACCTCTATTTAGGGCAAGTACTTGGGAATATTTTGTTGATGAAGCGGGATTAGTGTCAACGAACTATGACGTATGTACCGTTCAGATTTTCTAGTCACAAAAGTCATAAAGCTGACATGAATACTTATTCTACACTTATTCGTCAAAAATAGTTGGAAAACAAATAAGTTTTAAATTTTTACATAAAGGGACTCTGGGACGTATACTGGCATGTGGGCATCCAATTTCTGTGCTTTTATCCCACTCAACTTTTCCTCTCTTTTTCAGGAATGAAGTAAAATTTTATCTTAAAGTGTGGTATACAAGTTTATTGTTTATTAACAAGTATGAGGCTAAAATGTAGTTGGATTTTTACAGTTATGATTCATTATCAGTTTGGTATGATTTTCACAACCTATGTATTTTATTAACTTGAACTTTATTTGAAGGTACAGTCCATTCTAACCTCAATAATCATTAGTTTGACATAATTTTCATATTTTCAGGTGTTAAATGTTAATATGGCCGAAGGTTTTGGATTCGAATCCCGCATGTGGGATCATGGATGAGCACTGTTGAGAAGTTCCATACTAGGAAAAAATGGCCGTCCAGTGCTTTCAGGTTTTAAGTGGTGTTATTTCTTACATTGACTCATGAATTCAACTACTAAAACTACTACAATCTCCACAAACCTCATTTCGATAATAATTTTATTTAACCATTAAAATATAGAAATATGGAAAATATTCATTTCATAAAATTCAGTTATGATAGTCACTTGAAATGTTGACACTTAATTGACTTTACACAAGTCACTATAATCAAATAGTAATTCAAATTTTAAGTTATAAGTGAAAACCTTTTTTAAAAGAAGCTCACTAATCTACTTTTAAACAACCCGGTGTAAACAAAGTTTAGTAAATGGTGTTTTTGTGAGTTGAAGGATAATTACATTTGAACATGATATTATAGACCTATTTCATCATTATTACAAACAAAATTATGGGTGCCAATCATCACAGGTCAGTTACAATTATGATTGCTAGAAATGCTTTAAAAAATGTTTCCAAACTGTATAAATTCGCTTTCATCAAGGTAAAGAATACATTTGATCAAACAGAACTGAAGTACTTATAAATAAGAACAAGACAGAAGCTTCATGAAAGTATTTATAATATATATATATATATATTTATATATTTGTCAAAATAAGATTTCTGGATGTGATTGTAAAATCTCAGGTAAACTATACCGGATGGATTTTCTAATAAAAAATATTCGTTAGCTTTCATTTCGTTAACTGGATATTTCCATCTTCTTAATGATAAACTTTGCTTGTTTTCAGAAGTGGTAGTAGTGACCTTTAAAGATGAAAAGCAAATATGATGTGTTGAAATGAGTAATGTTCTATAGTTTTTAGTCACTTGTTAAGATGGAATGTAATAACTTAAATTTCATAAGAACCTTTTTCAATGGGATTATTCAGCAAAAGATTTTCAATGAATAAAACACATGTATTTTATTCAAGGAATCAGATAATGACGTTAATTTCAATATTTCCATGCTCTTATATCTTACCCCTTGAATTATTATTAGTAGCACATAGAGATATAAAATCTTGAAAACTATATAATGATTATGATATAGTGATCCAACTAGACCTTATCATGTTGTATTATATTCGCCAATTGTATGAATAATGCCCTAGGTCATGTTGTTGGCCTGAAACACATATCCATAGAAGGCATGTGTTTTTATTTTCTTGTACAGTATTCCATCCTTCTAACTTTTATGAGTCTGTTGTATTGATTCGAATGTGCTAAGTCTATATGTGATGTTTTCTCATGCTCACTTAGTCACTTCAAGATCATAGTTATTTGTCAGGTGGATAAAAAAAAAACGAGGAAATCACATCAATGAATTTTGCTGGCACTAAAAAATTACTCTAAAACGGAAATTTAAAGGCGACTTACTGTGATATTTGTATGAACTAATGATTTCTTTGTACTTGATGGCTGCTTGATTTCAAATTTTAAATACAATACGTTTATTTGTGCTCATCTAGTTCTACTTGCTGTAAATCGCACTATTTTAGGAATGCTTAGTTAGTATAATAATTCAAATACTCCTAATAATCCATCATTCAAATCTCAGTCAGATTGTACTGATTTCTAGCAAGACTATAAAGTGAGATACATTTTTGTAAATAAGCAGTTGCCTTCCACCTGATATCACATAAGTTTTCCATAAGAATCAAAAGGCATAAAACAATTGACATTACAAAACACTAATTTGTGTGTGGGTGGTATGTAAACCCCACTGCTTAAACAATTTTTTTTACAGGTATATATAGATGTTCATGCTAAAGCTGAGTTAATATGTACATCGTTACCTAGCCATGATCTCATTAAACTGTAATGTAAATTGTTACCAATTTTGTATTATGAAATTCAAATGCAGTATTTAAATGTTTCAAATTATCAAGCCACTTGTGATCTTAAATAATACTTATTCGTAAAGTCATTACACACATATTTCAACTTGCAATATATGAATAATGGTTGAACTCTTATAATTAAGAAATTATTTGGTCTATCAAATAGTTCTATCGAAACACTTCAATTGAAAAAAAGATAAACATTACAAACTGAATTGTTAAATTTGACTGAAAAACCTCCAAGATTTATATGTTAAATGTAAAATACAAAGTGAATAAGCTTACCGTCAAATGTCAGCAATTTTTTTTGAAGAAAATCTAAAACTTCACTTTTTAGCATTTTGATCAACTACAGTGAATCATGTTCACTTGGAGTTAAGATGTGAATTACAAAGAACGTTTAGTTTTTTTGTACCTTCTAGTTCCCTAAAAGAGATCTCTTTCTACTTCAAAGAGGACGATTTACATTGAGTAATTTATCATTTATATGCTTATTCTGCTTCTCTTTATTCATTCTTCTGGAGTTAAATTTATTAAACAATTAGTGAATATTTAGATAGCGGCACATGTTATTCGAAAAGGTGAAAAAGTGGAAAACTAACAAAATTTTGACCACTTCTGACTATACATATACAAATTATAGTTTATCGTAATGACTCACAGATCAATTATTATTGTTAGAACCAAGATTCCACTAACAACAAGAAATACAATCGGAGGAAATATAGTAACAGTGACTGCATATACAGCTGGTAAGCTGATAAAACTAATGACGAATCCAATACGAGCAACGAATCCTCCAAATGACTGAATCATTCCTGCGCAAAAGCAAAATTCAGTGTTTAGTATCACAATTTTCGGATTTAGTCTAAGCATAGAACTACAACTCTCAGTCAAACGTTTATTGTTTATATTAAGAAGTCAAAATTAACTTATTAATTGATTTAAAGTGAAAAGCATCTTTTCTAATTTCAACGTATCACTGTAGTACGAATTATACTTTCAGAAAAACGTCTATGAAAATAAAATCTGAATGATGTGAATCAATATTGGAAGAATTTTAAGGAAATGTGCTCACACTAAATGATTTTGATGGATACTTTTTAACTTAGCAACTACAATCTACAGTTTTATATAGGTAAGATTGCATTTTGCAAATGAAACCATGTTCATCAAACAATACTAATTGGTATTGTGAGTACAGTTTTTGTTTTGGTTCGAATAAAAATTCAACTACAACATCCCGGAAGTTTTTAAGAATTCGGGCTGAATGCGAATGAAAGTCTACTGAGCAATGTGAATATTTGAATTGACTGCGATAATTTACGTACAAGACAACATCAAATTATTATAATTAAATCAATAATCGGGTAAATTATTCTTGGTAATAAAACTGTTTCCATGTGTTAGTTAGGTGGTATCTAAATTGATAAAAATCTTTTATCTATGCGATCATTAAATGTCAGACAGAATACGCAACAGAATATTGTATTATTACAACTGACTATTAGAGGATGAGATGAAAATTCATCACCGTTTTTGGGCAGCTTTTATGAAGAAATATATGAAAGGCAGTAAATGTAAACCGTACTATCTTTCAAAACTCGAACCGTTGTAACGAGGTAGCTTTGTGCAGATCTTATAAATGTGTATAATATAAACAGAATAAAGCCTTCCAGTTCATATAATTTTACTAAAATACTAATTGCAACCTACCTTGATTGTTTGGTGGTGTGCATAGTGCAAACATTGAACGTGCAACCGGTGAGATGAAACTTTTCGATAGTCGAGGAATGGCAGCTGTTAAAAAAGAGATAGTGGCTAATTCTCATTGAAGATCAAGAAAGTCTGTGGTCCTAATACGGGACTACACTGGTCTACAATCCTAACATCCTTAGAGCCAGTTGCTTTCAGGTTTCATAGTGAGAGCTTGACTTCTAGACCACTTAAACGTCATACAGTGTCCCACATGTATGACTACAATCGTTTTGCGACATTACGTGATAATAATTTTAATTAATTATTTATTTTAGCTATCATGTCACTGAAGAGTAGGCAACCAATTATCGAGTTCTAAAATTATTGTCATTCTTTGCTTTCTCTGATTTTAGTTAACTGATTGTAAAAATCAGCAAACACTGGACGGCTGTTTTGTCCTTTTTTGGGACTCCATTACTCTATAGAAGATTGAACTAGTGATTTTTGAAGAGCATTACTATTTTCAAATGAAGTTCAATTTATTCGACTACCATTCCGAAAATAGCGAATTTCAGCTTGATAATATGGCTTAAATCTAGTCGAGTGCTTGCTCGTCAGAACTACAATTTATTAAGGAATATTTAAAAACTAGATAATCCGAGTCCATCCTATCAACAACAACAGGCCATATTTCAACATATTCATCAAAACACTCTCCATGTCTTACTTTCTTACCATGGAACGTATATGATATATGGTTTATCTAAGTTGACAATAAATGTAGAGTGATTAATATACTCCAAACATATATTTATAAGTAAGCTTCCCAAAAACTATTCAACTGTCAATTAATTATAAATATACTTGTATATTATCTCTCGAAATATATAATGATGTCTTAGTTAAATATTAACAATAATTTGAAGATATCATAACGTCTGATACAGTGGAATGTTCAATTAATGCTCTTAATTACAATTTTTGTTGGAAAAATTTTTTTTTTAAACAAGAAAAATTTTCCACTTACCCATATAGGCAATAGTACTTGCTGTTTGTTGTGTGAACTGATGTGCAAGACCCATCATTATTTTGTTTATTATCATTAATAATAAAGTACCTGCCAATGTAAAGATCAGTAATCTCATATTCCGTAAAAATACGATTCGTGATTTATCATTTTTATGTTCTTCTTGAGATGTATGATTACCATTTGTTACTAACTTTTGTTTCATACTTTTTCGTTCACGAATTTTAACGACAATAATTGTATATGTAATCCCCAAAACAGATGATATGAAATCACTGAGACCACTGGAAATTAAAAATCAATGAATTCAGTATGGATAAAGTCAAAACATTGTACATGTTAAATTCACTTGGTATTGCTTTGCTTGAATCTTCCCATTGAGGTTTAAAACTGCAAGTGATCAGTCTGTTATTGTCATATGTCCATACTGTGCATATCGCCTCGATATTGCCTTAATTCACAAGCTTTATAAGCAAAGATGGATAGTGGCTAGCAGCGTAATCCAGGACGCTTGTTTCGTCTCATTCGGGACTCGTCAACTGGATGTACCTGCATCACAGTGCTGATACTCACTCTGGGATTAATTCGCCCCACTGCACAAGCAAGTGGTTATCAGGATTCAGTAGCCAGGTGTATAACGCGATGCCGTTTGAGGCGAATGGTACCGGGTTCGAGTCCCAGAATGAACATAAACTCTGAGATGCAGGTACATCCAGCTGACGAGTCCCAAATACGACGAAACGCGCATACTGGATTCCACTGCTAGCCACTATCCATATTGTACATGTTAACTTAAAAATAATGTGAAAATTTTCATCTACATAAGCTATTTTTTTAAAATACATATTTACAGTTAATGGATAAACTGATTTCCAAATTTGCTTAGTCATCTTCAAAAATAAAGTGGATATGATACTGAAATCAATTAATGGTCTTATCTATGATCCCGAGAACGGAATCACATTTGATACCTGATACAACAGATATAAAGATTTATACAAAATTGAATTGGCTGTTCTAAACAACGGCACAAGAGTTCGTCCTCTTCTCAGGAAGTCGAGAACAAATGGACACAACAAATGCACAAATTTTATACTACTGAAATTGTCTAGAGATGTTTATTTTCACGACACAGTATCCTTCGAAGTATTTTCAGTGAACAGTCATCTCTATTCAGCATCCATTACATCTGTTTAAAAATATACAAAAACCTATTGATGATTTACTCTCATATACTGATAAAGTAAATCGGGCATGAGAATGTCTTAATCTGTATTCATTAACCCAAAACCAATTCAAGTGTTTAGTTTTTGTCTATGGATTGCAGTGATAATCTGATTCTGAAACCTGTACTCGTACTTTAGCACGCATGGAACAGGATCCATCTATAAACTTCCAAGATGTAATCGCGGAGTGTCATTGCATTCGACAGTTAAAACACGACACAAAACTAGTTAAAAACTGAAGAGATACACATGCAGTGAATGCATTTACTCTGAAATCAAAGCACCAACAAAAATTTCACAGTATGAATGGTCAGTTGCAAAGGTCGAAAGGAGCATTTTGGTTTTGTGATGTTTGGAATTATGGAAAAAGATGTACATATAAAACTAGCAAATGTAGCGAATCACGGCGATTTGGTCACAAATCGCGGTTTTGTCGCAGTTTTAGTACTTTACTTTCTGGTGTAAAGAGATTCAAATCAGTCGCACGTAAGAACGGTCATAGCGTTTTTGATGTCTCCAGTGTCCATCTGCCTCAAGAAATTAAATGTCGTAAGATCTTGATAAATGGAGTATCTATCAGAATTCAGATTGATATTGGGTCACATATTTCTTATAGTGTATGCTATTTATGTTGACAGACACAAGTAGTATACAACATCGATCGAAAGTTAGGAACCTGGCAGAAGGTTGGGATGATAGAATCGGAGAGAACGGTAACGGAGCGTAATTGTTATGACAATGAAGAAACGATGAAGCTTCTGACAATTGATGGAGGATTTGAAAATGAAGTGCTGAACGTATAGTTTTCATATTTGATGTTTTTTGCATTGAAATACATTGGTTGTCCACACCTGTATTTTCATTCACTAAATACTCTGGTTTCCTGTAATACAATGTCTTACAAACGCCTCACAGAGCCGGAAACGCGTCCAGAGATCTAATAAAAGTGAAATTGAATGTGATGTCTCGTTTACGTCTCAAACTTTATGAGGCAAATGTTGCCCCGTGGATCGTCATTATTCAGGTGACTGATCAGATGTAGCAGCTGTCATTATGAGATATGCCACGGAATCTCAATTGTTCACAGATTTTACTCTGAACTCAGACACCCACTTATATAACAATAAACTCTCTTATCAATCGCCTTAAGTCAAAGTATAGTACAATATTCAGTGAAACCCTTGGGTGTCGTACGGTGCAGAAAACAGTTTTATATTTGAGGCCGAACACTCGACCTGTTTTCAACCAAAAACGATCATGTCCATGTACCCCTTATCTCTAGTAGATAAGGAAATGGACAATCGGCGAAACCAAATGTCCTTAAACCAGCGAAATATTCACCCTGTGCAGCCCAATTAGTAGTTGTTAAAAAGGTTGATGGATCCTTACATTGATGTGCTGATTCCTTGACAGGTTTAAATAATGCATTGTTAGATTATTCATATCCACTGTTTTGCAGACTTGATAGTGTCCTGTCAAAATTTATGCAATCTGGCCTCCATTTACGTGAAGATGAGTGAAATTTCTTCATACAAACCACCAAGTATCTGAGGTTCGTGATCGACGAAGACGGTCGTAGAGTCGATACTGACAATTTCGACGAGATTAAACAAATGCCAGTATCATAAAATGTTGACAAATTACGATCATTCTCTGACATGATTGTAAAGTGTGATCGATAAACGAACCCACTGATGATAACAGGAAACGCCCACCACCACGTCAACTTTCTTTGACCTTGTATGACAAAGTTTTGCTTACTCACTAATTATAATTTTATGTTTATCATGAACGATATTAAGTTCGTTGACTCGTTTTGCTTATCCTCCAGTTACTTTTCGGAATGTTATTTCTCTCTTTTCCCTGTTTAGTAGACTGTATTAATTGTTTGTTTTGTATATTAAAAGTGGTAATTTACGTTTTAGAAACAGATAATGTTTATCAAGCCAAATAGCTTACTTGTTCTGACTTTGGCTAGATTGCTAGATTTCAAGGAGGTGCTACAATTGCGCAAAGTCATCCTAACTACCCACTAAAGACCAGCCTCGAGCATGATCAGCACCTACAGAACCTTAGTCATGCCTTCACATATATTTAGCTGGACCATCTCAGAGAAAACAATTCCTGGTTATCGTCGATACATTTTTAAAATGCCTGAACGTCTTCGTAGTGGCCAGTGTGTCTACAAGTGCCACGATGAAAAAATTACAGAAGTGTTCAACCGTTTTCGACCATCAACTGCTATTGTTTCAGATAATGGAACACAGTCCACTTCTGCCCGGTTTGGTAAATTCTGCAGAGCAACAATATCAATCATCCCAGGTCTGCTTCATACCATCTTCAACTGAATGGTTGGGGGGATCGCTTTGTTGATTCATTAAAAAAGACTATTCAAAAAGGAGAAGCGTAAGAGACTGTAGAAGAAGTGATTCACAAATTACTATCTTTAAATATCATTTCAGTATCATATTTTCAGATTTATTAGTTGCACTAAATAGTTTATGTATCTTACTAAGAAAAATATTACAAACCTACTTACATATATATTCCTACTTGTTGAGGATTCCACAAGAATGGTGAACCCATGAGATAGATAACAATGTAATGAAGATCTGCCATAGCACCAATTGCTAGGAGTACGATAATTATTATAATTACAATTAAGATTGGATCCAAATGTCCTACACTCTATGGTACAGTATTTGTTGAAGATTGATGGGAAAAGAAATAAATGAGAAGTAGACTAAAAGTATAGTTTATATTTTTGTTGCAATTCATAACTGTTATTTAATTTCCTAATCAGATCTATTCGCCAAAAATATATCCATTTGTCTGTATCAGTCAACTGATTAATAGTTTAATTTTCATTTCATTTCTACCAAAACTGCGTTTCTATTTAGTTTTTGATATATGTATATGCAATACCTTCAGAAAATCTACCAGGTATAGGATGAATAAACAAATCAAAATCGATTAGGTTGCACGGGTTTCATTTGCATAGTGTGACAGGCTGTCCAAACATCTCAGTTGGTTAGTTTTCCGTTGTTTAAGAAAACAAACTAACCCTTTTTTTAATTGGAATCATGGACTGATCAATGTTAGACCATCATTGAAAACTTGGGAAGCACTGAATGGATGTCTTGTCCTAGTAGGGGACTTGTCAACAGTGCGCACTCGCGAACCCTCACGCCGGACTAGAATCCAAGACCTTTAGTCTTGGGCGTGATATACATATATACTAGTAGTATTAGATGCAAAAGAAATTCAGCGTGAACGCTGAAGCTGTTGGTCTGTTTTCTTCTCTATTTATTAATTAATTAAACAAACAGCAATTATATCTGAAAACACGCATCAGTTACATTCTATAGAAAAATAGTCCTACAAAATTATATTTCAGTCACCCACCCAACAAATTGAGGAAGTCCTAGGACTCTTCAAGTGGAGAGGAGCTTTGTAAGGATATTGCGACTTCCTATTGGAGAATATGTGTATTTATGTATTAGAATATCACTAGAATGAGTAATTAACTTGAACCACACTACCTAGTGCAGAAGTATTTTTATTAACCTACACTTTTGGAAGATTTCATGCAAACTAAAAGCTCCGATGAGCTACTAATGAGTTCACTAGTCGAGAAACATGGAAACTATCTTCAAATATGCTTCATATACATATATTCCGATACATGTATCAAAAATGAATATATTCCAGTGATATTGATATTGGCATAGATAAGTGCGGTTGCCAGTATACTGTACATGTAATTATAGAAAGCGTAGGCATGTCCACACCTCCCACAAATACATATTGGCATAGAACGTTGCGCTGTCAAGTATACGATACATGCATGTGTAGAATGAATAAACCAAGGCTCTCACACTCCATAGTATACACATACGCATAGATGAAAACGCTCGAGGCTTCTAAGCTCAATAGAATTTTCACTGAATAAATATTAAGCGTTCAACTCAGTATATAAGTCGTCATAGATGATGTGCTCACTTCACGCTCTTATCACAAGCCGGTTTAGTGTCGAATTCTTTGAATTGGTTACGGCACAGCTTATGGTCTACCTCTGGCTTCCCCCTGCCAGATCTTATGGGCATTTTCAAACTAGTCTGTTTAGGCAAACAGAAGGACAATTTTCCCCAATGCCTCAGTCATACTCTCAATTCAAGTTGACTTCTCTTTTCATATAATTAATGTTGAGATAGAGTGAGAGATCCGTCCGATATTGACTACGAAGAGGTTGGTCAGTCCGGTCTATGGTTGAAAATAATGATTAGATGAGCACTACTAGAGAATGTTTCTCTATATTTTTGGAATAAATAAAACTAAGATGGTATATTACATATGACTATTTAGTGTGATATTAAATGATTGTGATATTGAATTCTTCACTGTAATCAAATATATAATACTGAATCAGTCCACGATTAGTAAGCGTTCAGTTATTCTCTAGGTGTTATTATACTGGGAAGAAAAGTTCAACAATTTCAATAAAAGTACACTTCAACACTAATCCATTTAGAGAATAAATAGCTTTTTATAATTAGATTTCATGATATTTACTATAATAGACATACTTAAATTTGTATTATGTAGTTAGGTATTAAACTATCTATTAGTCATATACATTTAGAAACAATTTGTTTTTAGGTAATATAGTATCATCTATTAATGAAGTAAACGTTAGAATATAATGTTGATATGTAACTAATTACAATTATTGTTATCTATCATATTGACTGTAATAAGAAATTTTCTGTTGGAGTTGAAATTGTCATATTTATTATATAAAATGAAACTTTTGTATGACGTCATTTAGACTGGTATATTATTTTAACTACAGATAACAAAAAATTTCGAAGGTTATTTTAATTTTATTTATTAAAATTGATTTATGTTGTTGTCAAGTCGTTTAAAATTTTATTATTTAATAAAATTATTGAAATATTTTTTTTCATTATTGTTAATTATCAATAATATTGATCAGAATAAATGAACTAACTTTTATTCGCATAATGAATTTTTCTTTCCATTCAGGTTGAATTTCAATTGTATGAGCTTCATTAGAATCATTGTCTTTATTATTATGAGTAGAATTTTCTTCTTTATTATCTTCAACATTAATAGGTGATCCATATGTATTATTGGTTTCCGGGAAAATGCATAAAATTATGAAACTTGGTACAAATAAAATTGCACCTGTGATAATCACAGCGTTGAAACCAAATTGATAGATTAATGTTCCTAATAATAAGTGTAAATTTATATATCGCACCAATGAAGAGAATAAAAATTTTAATTCGTCAGTGATAAAAATAAGTAGGGGAATTTTCGAAAACATTGATTTATTTACAAAGATGGATAGTGGCTAGCAGTGTAATGCAAGACTCGTGTTTCGTCTTATTTGGACCTCGTCAGCAAGATGTACCTGCATCACAGAGTTGATTTTCAATTCAGGACTCGAAACTAATACCGTTAGTCTCAACACCATCACGTTATCCATCTGGCTACTGAGTCTTGATAGCCACCTGCTTATGCATCTTTGTTTATAAAGCTTGTGACTTAAGTCAACATCGAGACATTCCGCACAGGATGCACATATGGTAATAAAAGACTGACCAATTGCAGTCATAAACAACAAAGCGAAGATACAAGTAAACAATACCAAATGAATTCATTGATTTATTTGTTGAGTTTTGTATCACGATGGCTTATGACCATTGACTTACATGTACATTCATTCCCCATTTTGGTTTCAATTAGTAACCATCACCAAAAACATGTTCCTTTTTCTGAAAAGAACTGTAGTCATATTTGTATAATTTATCTTTGCAAATTCCTACGCAAGATTTGAAATTAACTGTTATATGTAATAGTAAATTAAGAAATAAACTAGCATTCTGTTTTTTGTTAAGCTAATGTCATTTTTAATTTAGGCGTTTTATTTTTTTATCGTTACAACTCAATAAAATACTATTCATATCTAATGAATGGTGTTAGAATCTTGATCTCTACAGCAGTTTTCTTTCCATTGTTTTTTTAAAGGAAACGTACATATTCAACAGACTCTAGACTATAAAGATTTGAGGTATAAAATAAACAAAGAAATTAAACATTTTGTGACATATAAAAAAGTTGAGTATACAAACCTCCGATCGGGCTGCCACTTGATGAACATAGTAAAGCTATAGATTCAAACACAGTAAACCAAATCCATGTATCATGGCTAATCTTTTCTGTTGTAACAGTCAGATCTTTTTTAGCGTGTGAAATCCGTATTATATCAACCACAACTGCTGCTACTTGAGCATAAATTGATAAAAGACCACCACCGAAGAAAGCCTCAAAAAAGCCAGCAAGGAGTAATATCCATACACTCAAATTAAATGTTACTATTAAAGCTTTAATTCGAAAAATATAAAATCAAAGAAATTGAATTACATGCTGATATTGCAGTAAATGAAGCATAAAAAGTTTAATTACTTAGTAATTTTGATTACTAACACCACCTGGCGGCCTGCTTGAGCATCTGGGCTACCTGTTCCTGCCATCTAGATATTTCAACAAGGTATCTGTTTTGTTTGTTTTAATACATCATTATGTCTATCAATCACATAACCTATCCTGGTGCATTTCTGAAGTGTACAACCTTTCGTTGTCAAAGTTACAAAAAGCCCAATAAGAGATAATGTGGTTGCTGGCAATATACAACAAAAAAAGTACATTATTCAGATGTTCATTTACTGGACTGCTAAGATCTAACTGGCGATCACTCAATATTTATCGTCAGGATCGATCAAGAAGTAAGAAACGGAAACTTGTTGAAATACTTTGTGCTGAGAATTCTATATTGTACCAAAAATATAATATTGAATAAAGCTTATAATAATAAATAATAAAAATAAATGTATAATTGTAAATTAAAGGTGGTGATATAAATGGAATTAATAGAATAACACATTATGAAATGTCTCAAAGAATTTAGCAAGGTGCTATGATTAACTGTTTAGCAAAAATGTCAATCAGTGCACTGTTAAAAATTGGTGATACTCCAAAATACGATTTTTACATTGCCAAATAAACCTTCATATTTGATTTCGAAGATTCAAAATCGATCGTTTTGTTGACAGGTCTACCAAGGATATCCAGTCAATTGTGTCTTGAACTCTTCTTTCCATTTGCTTCAAAGTGGTTCATATTGTCCTTATGTCTACCTCCGATTCCCGGCATTGGTATACTCTGTTTCCAAGTTAGTATTTGTCTTGTAATATAGTCTAATAGTTGCCTCATTGTGTGAGGGACAATTTATCTGCAAATGAAAATTATCCAATTGCATCCAAGTTTTCCACTGTGTGTCGTACTTTTCGTGAGATGTGAAGGTCTCATAATCCAGAAAACAGTTGACAGAAAGAGAAAAATCGGAGTAGTCAGCCTTTTCTGATACTAATCTTTACTTGGAATGCATCACCGAGTTACTGGAAGTGTATAACTTTGCAATTCATTCTCTCATAGGCGTTAGTGTTGGCTAAGAGTTCACAAGATCTTCCTGTTCACTCTGTCAAATGCTTTCTCATTATAAAAAAAGTTGATACATTGCAATGAGTTTCATTCGATTTAATGTTTAACGATGGCAATCTGTATTGCAATTTGGATAAAATATGATCTGTCTGTATGAAAGCCAGCTCGTTGATCGTAAAGTTAAGTGTATATTGAATCTTTTATTACTTTTAGCAAGACTCTACTTTAAACTTCTATTGGTAGACACCAGCGTGATTCTTATGCTGTTTACACATCTACTAGAAGCGTTTTACTTTGATATCTTGATAGGAAATCTCTCTTTGATTTTGCTTTGTTTTAGCCCTTAAGTATTTTTGAACAGAACGTGGAAGAACTTGTGAAGTTGCTTCCATATCCGACTCCAATGTTTCAGTAGGTATGGCGACCAATTTTATAGTTTGCCATTCCTGATTATTCTTACAACATTGCTTATCTATTTTATTTTTGGTAGGGTTCAACCTGTAGAAAGTTTTGTGCATGGTGCCTTGCTGGCCATTGGATTTAGCCGTGCAGATCCACTCAAGAGCTCTTCAAAGTGCTCTACCCATCGGCTTTGCTTCTCCTGAACTCCATCGTCTACCTTCTTTGTTTTTGACTGGTCGCTCTATTACACCATATCCCCTGCTAAATTCTGATTCTCTTTGGTTGTCTTATATTTTATTGGCTTGCAGCTTGTTCTGCTGTGGTTGACAGGTCTTTAACGTATTTGCGTTTATCTGTTCTAACGTTCGACTGTTATGCTTCTGTATATTCGGCCTGTGGCTTCATTTTTTGGCTCCTGTTTGGGTGTTGTTGACTGCTGTCTTCTTGTTTATTGATCATTGAACCCTGGTCAGGCCGTCTATGGAGACCCATTATTTATGCTGGTGTTTTTGGTAGCACATCAGCTCCTGCCATACTGAAGTTATCGGTTGTTTAACTCTTTTCATTTTCTATTCATAAAGGATTCTTCATGTCCTACTATATCGTGTAAGACTTGGAGATTATTGTTGATAGCCAAAGTGAACTCACTAAGCTTGTTACTACCCAAAAGAAAGTATGTACCGAGCATTTGAATTTCTGGTTTTTCAGACATTCTTTAGCTTGAAATTCAGCTCGGCCAACACGAGGTAATGATCTGAAGTTATGACGGATCCTCCCTCTATTTATACGTCTTACATAGAACATACGACTTTTTCGTTGATGCAGATGTGATCAATCTGGTTTTCCGCAGTGTATTTTGGTGAAATCCATGTGACTTGTGAATGAATTTGTGGTGAAAAATGCTAACACTTGTATTAATGTTGTTAAACGCACACCGACCTGTCATTCTTTTGCCATTATTCTTTCTTTCAGTGGACGTCAGACTCATCGTGTCTTTACGACGGGTGTTGCCGTACCGACTATTACGTTCAAGTCCCTTATAAGAATGATTACGTCTCTCCCAAAGCACATCTCTAGGTTGGTACTGCTTCTCACTTATCTGGTCCTTATCATCTGTGCCATCGCTGGTGATTCTTTATCATTGTTATATTCATAGAAATCCTTGCCTTTTTTGCTTCAAAGGTTGTTTTTACGATCCTGAAGCCCTGCGTTTCTGATCCTATAAGAAGATTTTGTGTTTCTTTGTAAAACATTAGTGCAACTCCTTGTGTGTAGGATATTTTCTTCTTCATGACCGGAATATGATAACAGCTCTCCTGAATTTAACCTTTTTATAGATATTGTATACATTGTGTTTCACGTATTCACTGCTATTTAAACTACTCTTCCACTCTCCAACACTGTCATGAAATTCTATATATCTATATTAGTCGTTGATCCAGTTGTCAAAGCGGCATCGAGTTAAATGGCTTCCTAAGAATCTAGGCTTTCCTCGTGAACTGTCATAACTTTTCAAGATGAAGCTCAGTTAACTCCCTTTGCAGAGTTCAATTAGTTTAAATAATTTTTTTTGCTAAGCGTTTTTGTAGTGAGGTTCGTTTTTACGAGGCTGGGTTGCTAATCCTCGTTTACCCAGTCTTGGGAAAGGTAATAACCATAGAGCGTATAAAAATACCGTTGTACCTAGATACAGGCCTCTGATAACATAAACTAATTTCGTATGCTGTATGAAAGTAACTGAAAAAGATATCGATTGTATGTAATTCGGAAATCTCCAGATGTTTTTATTGAATGGGATAGGAGATGAAATATTGACCATCGTCAAATAATATTCCCAACACCAGTAATGTATAAATACATTGAAATAATAGTTAGATATAAAAGTACTTTATTGGGTTGGAGTGTGCACTAAGAATATGAATTATCCCTTCATGTGTTAAAATTCAAATACCAATGAAACACATCAGTATTTCGCATGATGATATAAGTGAAGTGGACAGAGATAGAATAAATACATTATTTTTATTTATGAGAATGTTTTGAGACAGAAGAATCTCATCATATAAAAATATATTCATCTTTGACTAAATATCACTAGATACTGCTGAATTATTTAACTTATATAGCTTAAGAAGGCAGAAGAGGAAAAATATTTTCAGAATAAACAAAGTTAAACTCGTAACATTTCTGATGATTCCACTTTTCATTCTCTCTTACATATGCATATTGTGTGATCATAAAGTCCCTTCTACATTCATTCATATCACATTAAGATAATTCCCTATTCTTCTAGTGTAAGTCATTTACTTAAAAAACAAATATCCTAACTATCACGATAAGACGTTGGCTATTTGATAAACTAACTTGTTCAGTTGAAAACGTTTTGTAAGAACAGCATATTATCAAATTTTAATTTAAAATTTATTCCGGAGAAGAACATTTACATTACATAACAGTATGTTCATATAGTTCAGTGATAAATGATCAGCAGAATGGGGAATTTTGTAGATTGTAGTGGTTTTAATAGTTAAATTCATGAGTCTCATACTAAGACAAAATAGCCGTCTAGTGCTTCCAAATTTTCAATGGTGGTCTAGTTTACATCAACTAATGAATTAAACTATAAATGATCATATCAAATATTTGTAGAAATATTACTATGTAAAAAACGATGTGCCACTAAAAAGCATCGATTATTAATATCTAATGTAAGTTAACAATACATTTAGAAGATCCTAATCATCAGTCTGTCAAATAATTAAATCAAACATTATGATCAGTAGAAATCAAAAACAAATTAATGACTTACACACTGTTGTTATATGTAAAATTCTCCAAAGAGTAGAATACCTATAGCAACACGACGACCATGTCTATCTGATATATAGCCAATTATTAACATTGAAATTAAGCCTAATGTTATTCTGACTGCATTTGTAGTAGACTCTAGTGTAGCAGCTTTCCTTTGTGCAGCTCTTAGTTTTATTTTATCATCAACTGATCTGACATGGAAAAAAAGTATTGATTGTGAACCAGTCGTTTGATGAAATGATAGTAATCATTTAAAAAACATAGTTATTCAGCTCATTCTTTAAGAATATTGAAAATTATTTATCGTCTAAGAGTATGCATTTAATTTTGTTATCTAGTAGCGGGCACATTTCAGATAACTTATACATACGTAAACGTGTTAGTTTAATAGCCAGATAACTATGTTTCCCGTGATGGATTCATTGTATACTTGGAGCGAGCAAAGTTCGAGCATGATTAAAAATAAACCCAAAGCTTTTATAATTGTATGAGTTCGAGTAATTCATAGGGTTTCATGTATGAAAAAGGTAGCTTATTCTAGAATATTAATTCCTGGATTACGCAATCATTTTAGAAAGGATAGACTGGATGATCACTTTTAACTAGATTTGGATATTGATTGGTATGTTTAAAGTGAATACCTTTTTATTACCCTTACGTACAGAGTAATCTACTGTTTCATTTTCTCAGGTAATGGAAAAACAGTATGGTGATTTTTATTAATTTACTAAAATAAGTGATTTTAATATATGGGCTACACGGTACATCGGACTTTGTTAATCCAATATGATTAAAAAGGTTTCACATCTAGTGAGTAAGTGTTTGGTATGTGTTTAATGATGTGATATGAACTGCATAATACACAGAGTAGTTTGATATAATTTATAGAATGGATCTAGTGATTATTTCATGCAAGAAGGCGAATTTCACCTTAATCAGTCCTATAATTTCCGTTCATCAACTTCCTATTGATTCTGGATCATAAACAGCAAAGTCTGTATTTGAACATGTGAATACAAAGAAATGCTTATTTGGGAAATTTTTCATTAGAGAAATCTCACTTCGAATTTCCTATCAACTTGTAAATAAAACAGACATTTACTGACGACAGTCATACGGAAAATGAACTTGAAACTTGTGTATTTGATTATTTTTTTCACTTTATATTGGAAGTCTGGGTCATTAAATGATGTAACTACCTACATTTATGTAAAAAAGGAGATTCAAGTGTTATATCCGCTACTTGATTAACGCAGATTACGGTATACAACTACGAGGCTTGAACGTATAGAATCTCACAATCGTAAATCAGAAGACAGAAGAAAGATAGAATAGTGTTTGTTAGGTAAGGATCAAAATATACAGAAAAACATGGTTACTTATAGACATTAGCGTTTGTTATATCAACATTATAATTAAGCCAATCCGCAAGGTGGCAAGTTATACTACTCTCCAATAGTAACATGCTACGTTGATAGTCAAGAAAGCCTCATCACTTTCTCATTGGATCGAAACTCTTCGGCTCCTTAAAGGCCTCTAAAACCTTCATCGCATATATATATATATATATATATATATATATATATATATATATATATATATATATATATATATATATATATATATATATATTGATCAACAGAGTGAAATAATTAAGGTTACTTTTCTATAGAACGAAATCCAAAATTGAGTTTTGACTCTCAAGCGATGAAATACCTTAACTGATACGTCATAAATAAATTGATGCAAATTAATCCATACCATTTTCTTTCGATTCATCAAATAAAATCTATAGTATTCCTACTGTTTACAAATGTGATTCTGTTAAGCAAAATCAGTCAAGTAGTAAATGTTCACTAAAAATATTCACTGGAAATTTTAATTTGTTTTAAAAAGAAAAAAATTCTCAATAAAAAAAATTCTTATTAATTAATTGACTTACAGATTTGCATATTTATGTCTTTCTTGACGTGTTAAATATGGTAGGCCTTGTTCCGTCACAGCACTTCAATTAAAACAAATTACAAATTAATTGACATTATTAAATAGTTTAATATCTTTGATAATATGGATATATTTCTATTGAAAACTTGTAAAGTAGTCATTATCCTAAATATTCCAAAATAAATGAAACTATCCATATTAGAAGAGAATGAATAGTGGCTATCAGTGGAATATAGGATGCACGTTTCTTCCTATTTGGGATTCGTCAGCTGAATGTACTCACATCCAAAAGTTGATGTTCAATCTGGGATGCAGGTACATCAAGCTGAGAAGTCCTAAATAAGATGAAATACACATCCTGGCTTCCACTACTAGCCACTATCCATCTTTGCTTATAAAGCTTGTGACTTAAGATAATATCGAGGCAGTCCGCACAGGATGCATATATTCCAACAAGACAGTGATCAATTTCACTCCTTAACAATAATGAGTAGATACAAAAAAATAATACTAAGTGAATGAAACTATCCATAATTCGAACATTAAACGATCTATCATTTATTCAAGTTAATTTACTGATTATTATAACAGTGGATAAAAGCAAAACCATATTGTCATTAAAATGTAGGTTGATTTTTTCAGCTTCCAGTTTATCTTTTTTATACATCATATTCATTTGCTAATTTCATTATACAAATGTGTGTGAAGAATTCACATATCATGATCCTTAGTCTACCATTAAAAAGTAATCAATTGTTCAAGAATGTATTAGATTACTTTTTAATCAAGCTGTTGTGATACTCTGTAAAGTGTATGCAACTGTCCTCTTTCAAAGTATTTAAGATAGATCGTATCCATATTTTATAGCTTAGAGTATTAAAATACTGAAAAATGAACTTGTAATCAAATAAGCCAAACGTTTACCAACTTTCTTGACACATATATAATGAATTTCACAATACATTTGTATGGATGATATTTAAAAAGTGGAAAATTAATGATATTATTAGTTCATATGCGTTATTTATTTCTGTAACATGTACCTTTTCTATGAGGTATTCACTGTTAGCCTAATATAGATATCACCTATACATCTAATGAGAATATGATATTCTTACTGATCTAGTTCACTTTCAGCCATTAATTTTAATAATTTATTATTTTCTATGTCATTCCAGAATTAATGTTGTTTTTATCAATTCTATATCTAAATTAAGTTATCCTTCTCTAAATTACATGTTTACCCTAAACAGTTGTGCTTTTTTGTTCCATTTTGTCGGCCAAGTGGTTCAAAATTCCTAATAATTTCTGGTCATTCAGCACTGATTTGATTAAATGGTGGAATTTGGTTTTATGATGAAAACTTAAGGTCTGGAATTTATTCATAAGTTTACTAATCATATGAAAACCAGACATGTATTACATTGAATAGGGTTTGAAGCCTGAGTTCATACAACTTGGAAGAGGAGTGAAAAACGAATGAGGGTGCATAGTTTATATTTAGTCATATCTGTGAGACTCACCTAACAAGGAATTGAATTTAAACATATTGCACAGAGCTAAAATAATTCAGAAGCTTATTACCAGCTAATTTTAGATCAAAAACAATTTGTCAAAATGAATTAATCTCTAAGTCTTATAGTATGTTATTCAAGTTAATCTGGATCGATGAATGTATATGAAACAAAGGCAATAAGTGAAATATGAAAAATTGTCGGGAAAAATATGATTTTAATTTACTTGTAAAATACATATTGATCCGATGTGAAAAGACATAGTTCAATTGATAGGTATAATGTGACTGTCATAATCATAAGAAGCACGATATATTTATATTTCGTGTTAACATGACCTGTACCAGGCCTTTTGTCATCCATCACAAAGGAAAGAATATATACTGTGAAACTATCAATGTTCTTGTTTGAATGATGAACAAAATGAGTTTAACTGCAGAATGACTAAACTTATCCCGAAATATTTCGTATTGTTCAGATTGTTTTCTAAAAGATAAGAAACTGATTGCATAAATGTAATTAGAAGAGATAAACGAGTTTCCTACATTAAGTTTATTTATTCATCAAATTCAATGCAAATATGAATGTGTTAATCACAAAAAGTAGAGCAAAACGGAATAAAGTATACTTTTATGAGAAAGTAGCGGTTATAGTATGATTTTCTTAATTCTCAATCAATATAGTACTGTAATTGAAAACTTATCTCTTTCTCCTTACATTTAAGGTAATATGTTGACTGATAAAAGTATGAATACTGAGTATAAGTAACAAATTATCTTAGCCAAGTTGGACACCATGTCAGATCAAAGTAATGACAAATCATTTTGTTGCTTCATTTCGATTATAAAAATGAAACCAATACACTTGAATATTTATGAAAAGATATCATTTTCACTACAAAAAATTATTTTAAGTCATGTCAGAATAATTTTCAGAAGCTCATAAGATTGACTGATAGAATTTCAACTATACATTACACAGAGAGGATCCAAAGTAATTGTCAGATCACTATTTCAAAAGTACTTTCATTGATTGTATTATTTTTCCTTTCTAATAATTCTATTGATCGATGTTACCGTCAGTGATGCATTTCACTGCTTAATATTAAGTATGTAACATGAATAAGTAATCTCTATCAATTTATATATACATAATTAACTGATACCTTGTTCAGAGGAATTAAGTTCTGGTCAACTATACAAAATAAACTTTCTTTTTACAATTCAGTGTTTGCATTATTCAAAGTTTTATATAACTGTTTTTCTAAATCATACCAACGACTTACCATACTGTGTTATTAAAATTAAGTCACAATAAAATTTTATATTTAGAATTTAAGTAGATGAGCAGACTGAGTAGTTTTTCATTGGTTAAATCGGCTATTCACTTATTGGTCATAATGAATAAGCTCTAAAATAGCTTTAACAATACAATTTTTATCAATAAATAAGATTTTTTAGTATAGGGTTATGGAGATTGTTGAGTTTAGATTGATACACTATGAATGGAATAAATAATAGACCACCATTGAAAAGTTGGAAGCATTGGAAGGCTGCTTTTTTCTAGTATGGGATCCCTCAACAGTGCACAACTACGATCTCGTACGCGGGATATAGTAAATATATTGAAACTAGATTATTAAAATGAATTGTTCAGGAGTTATTATTATATGGTTTACCAAAAATTGTCATGAAATACATCAATAATTAACTTTCTTCCTAAAATATCTTACAATACAGAATTAAACAAAGTGATAAATAGGCATCATATGCTACTGCATTATTTCAACTTTTTATTATCCTTAAAAATTCCAACAATATCTAATAAAAAAAAAGACGTTTTACCATGTTGACTTGGATATACGAACAAATGAAGTATTCAGAAAGTTTTTCCAATCAGATTTTTAGGCATGTAGATGTTGTGTTTCACGTCATTTCTTTTCTTTTATCATAAAACAACAAACAACTTATTGGGCAATGTTTCAAATAAAGAATTCGCAAAAATCCTTTACTATTTGACACGAAACAGTTTGGTTGTTTTACAAATGGTCAAGAAAAAATAATAAAAGACAATATAGAATAACAAGTTCAGTATGTATGTTCGTATGTATGTATTGAGTGTTGCGAAAATCATATAGTCTGTTTATATAAGACTATGATAAAGCATTTTGTATTATAAAAACAAAAGAAAGTAAAATAAGTCAGTTATAAAATTTCCGCTATTACCCACATATTCCTTATAATGCGCTTCTCAACGTCTCCATAAATGTCGTCCTATAGATGTAATCAGGTTAACATAATTGGGCATTTATACTTACACGAATATATACTTACTTACGCCCTATTATCCCTGAAAGAGTAGCATAAGCTGTCCATCAGCACTCTCCATCAAACTCTGTCCTGGGCAATCCTTTCCAGTATTTTCAGTTGCTATTCGTCCTATTCATGTCTGCTTCCATTTCCCGACGTAGTGTGTTATTCGGCCTTCATCTTTTCTGTTTCCTTGAGTATTACAAGTTAGCGTCTGCCTCGTGATGTGGTTCGGTAATTTCCTCGACGTACATCCTATCCACCACCAACGTCTTTTCCTAATCTCTACATCAGCTGGAAGCTGGTTTGTTTTCTCCCAGAGTAGGTTGTTGCTAATGGTATCCGGCCAACGGACATTCAGTTTCTTACGTATATAACTGTTTATAAATACTTGAACGTTTTTGATGATGTTAGTAGTAGTTCTCCAAGTCTGAGCTCCGTACAGTAGAATTGTCTTCACTTCATATTAGATAGTCTGAATTTGGTGTTGGTTGACAGACAGTTGCTAAGAGTTCCACATGTACTTTAATTGTAGGAATGCTGCCCTTGCCTGGCCAATCCTCGCTGTTACGTGTGCATCATATCCTGCGCGTTCATCGATGATTCTGCCCAGGTACGTGAAATTTTCCGCCGGTTCCAGAGTTTCTCTATCAAGTGTGATTAGACTGGTGTTCTACGTGTTGCTTTTTACTTTGTAATCCATAATATTCTCCCATCCACGCTGTCAAATACTTTCTCAAAATTAAGAAAGTTTACCTTGAAAAAATTTCAGAAAGTTTCCATTCACAAGAGAGTTTATACATAATTTTAATACATGTTCGCTTATTATTATTTCAAATATAATTATGAATATCGAAATTCATTGAAGGATTTCACCGATTCCATTACCTGTCGTACAAGTACTTATTTACTTTCCTTACTATGTAACTGAAATTTATGTTAGACTTCTCATTAAACACCAACCCTACAACCATATATTTCAGTTTATTTGTTTATTAGGATCTGTCTTTTAAAATTTATCGCCTTATCCATATTATTTATTAACTGATCAGTAAAGTATTTATAATTGCTTTTAAAAATTCTTGTATTTGTAATATTATCAAGCATGTCAATAATTAGTAAGTACGTTTTATATTTATACATAAATATATCAGTGTAGACATACAATCACATCAAATTCAAGAAATCGTTTTGTCTATTAATATTCTGTTTACCCGAAACGAATAAAAACAAAAGCAAACCAACTGTTGTACAGGACAAAAAGCCTTTTGATGAAGTAAACAATGATGATCCAAATGAAGATACTCGTAGTATACCAATGGAATTTGAAAAGACGTTAACAAGTAGAGTGACAGATGCATTTCAAGTTAGTCGATTGACATTTATTTTCTCAGCTATTATGTTTCTTGTCTTTTGTTAGTGTATCATTACAATAACATTTCTATGGTGTTCTAAAGATAAAATGTATGACCATTCAGGAATGGTAAAGTAATATATTACTGATCATATGGGTTAGCAAGCTATCCATACACAATATTATGCGCATTCCCACAACGTATTTCATTGGGATATTTCTACACTTGTGAACACATTAGGTATTTTTATTGAATAGTGCTTGCGATATGTCAATAAAAGTGAACTCTCATCAGTGGTTTAATATTAGTTCAAGTTGAAAACTGAATACACCGTGGTCTGATAGATGGAGAGTAATGGAGATTTTCAAAATAGGCGATAATAACCAACAGTTCTGTCTTCATTTCAATCAAATCAATAAACGATACTCACCATCACTTACTGGATGGAACATGTGACTCCAGTTGAGTTATATCACAACCTGAATGCAGTAGAAAATTTGACTTACTCGAACCAAACTCAATGCATTGAAAACATAGCAAACAAACTCAGTATTGAAATTACAGGTTTTCACCTCCAGTGTGGTTGCGTGCATCCACCTCTGTGAAGTCTCATACTAGAATGATAGAGTATTACATTGTTCATTTCGTCCATTTCCTTTATCGGTTGGTGTCAATTTTCCATGGAAAATTAGTGCAACCAAACTCGATAGAACCGACAAGTGTTAAATAATTTGTCATACGTCACTAATCGGTCCGTGATATATTCGAGGAAGGATCATTTCATATTTACAAGACAACTGACTGGATAGATGAATCAGTACATTATCTCACTGTGTAAGCCGTAGAATGATAATAACTGTATCAGAAATCGCAATCATAATAATCATCATAATTACTTCTTAAAACTATTTTCAAATGTTTCTGTGTCACTCATGTCATATCGTGCAAAACTGAATACCATGACTACCATGCATAATAAATCAGAACTTCAGTGACCCTTCATCTTAATCTGTTTACCAATAAATTACTGAATCAACAAAATCATTCGAAGCATGCAAACAGAAACCAGATAAGTTGACATCTACATCATGATCATTTGATAAAGGTCAATAGATTTCAAAAGAAAAGTCATGTCTGTTCTGAACATAAACAACTAGTGAGATTTTCATCAGAAATCAATTTAGAATGACCTTCTCACTTATCTGCGTATGGACATTATGCAATCAATAATCAATTACTTATGAAATCCAAGACTCTCACACAGTATTAAGATCGAAATTCAGTTCGTTACAACACTCAAAGCGTTAGTGTTTCATTCTCTATACTCAACCAACACAAAACTCTTGATTGCCGATTCTACTGATTTGCTGACACAGATCGGATAACTGTGAGTCGCATTGACTAATCGACCTGTCTTTTACATGACTCTGGTGTTAACACTATTTCACACTGTCAGTCAAAATGAATATTTATCATATATTGTTAGTAGGCATTAAAAAAATAGGTCTGAGAACATTGCCAATAAATGCGAGTTTAATAGTTCTGTTAATCTCAGAGATTTATCTTGGTTAAAAACCTGTTGAAACCGATAATCATCACAAGATGTCTGCTTCGTCCAATTATGGGAAACCTCAACTATGTATATTGCATCACTTCTAAATAGGTATGTAAGGTCTTTCATGTGATTGGTCAAGTATTT